TACCTAAGAGCTGGGAAACTACTTCCACATTTTCTTCTGCTCCCCAAACCTTGTATGACGTGGAAAACGTACAGAGGAAAAGGCCGTGAGGTGCATGACAGTGCAGATACCCAAGTTCTCCAAGCTGTTCAGTCCCCCCTACCTGAGTTCAGCCTAACGCCAGCGCCTGGATCCTGGGAAAGCGCAGACTTTCCACTTCGCATTTTGAGTTCCAGATACAGGAACATGCCCTGAAACTTACAGATCCCGGGTAGGTGGTGAGGAATATGGCACAGTGTGGATCACGGTTCCATGAAAACACGCAAGTGCCCAAATACCTGCTTTTTATGTTTCCAAGTAGATGGTTGTCTTCTTTTGTTACTGTGTCTAGAGTAACCGTTATAGACTATAAACCTCAGGCACACGCAAGTGTGTCCATCCAGCTGGCACGCATGGGTGGTGGCTCGATGTCACAGCAGTGCTGGGCCACGAGGGGCAGGCCAGGCCAGGCCAGGCTCCGCCGAGGAAGTCGGCTTCCACACTGAGTCACCCTGGTGCAGTGCGATGTCACCCACGGGAAATTGAGAACGGGAAAACAATAGCACACTGTTAATGTGACGCCTTCTTCAGCGAAAGAGGTTTGTGTGTGTAATTGAGTTTAATTGTTCTGTTTAGAGAGTGCCTGCATTTTCCCTGGGAGTCAAAAGAAAAATACCAGAGTGCGGGGACAACAGCTGTTTCCAGCTACGGGGCAGTGATTCCCAGTTCAGGGTGGCTCCTTCTGCCGGCGAAAGGATGCTTTTTGACCGTAAAACGTGGCCTTCCTCCCAATGCCATTATAGGGGGTTTCCTTACAAAAACGGGCTGTTTATCGGATGTCCTGCAGGAGAAAATAACTGTGACCTCACCCAATGTGTTCCTGTCATTTGAACACATTTTTAAACCTCACCCTGAATTCTTCCTTACGATGAGCAGCACGGTGGGTGCCCTCTGTGTTTTCAGGGCACCTGTCAGTTTGTAGGCTCTACATCGCTTTAGATCGCCCCAAGTCCCCGCAGGACTTCTCACTCTTTCTGATCACCCTGACTTCCCAGCATCCGGAAGCCGAGGGATAATGATATTTATTGTACCTGGTGGTGTTGTTGATGCCATAGCGATGATGAGGACTCGTTTTCTTTGACTTCAAAATGCATTTAAAGTGGGTGCTTATTAAAATTATACTATTTTGTTAAAAGAAACAATGATAAATTGAAATGGAACAGAAGTTAGGAGCTATTCTAGCTGGGTGAAAGATGGGCATAAATATCAGGATGGCAGGGAGAAGGAGCACTATGGGGTGCCGTATTTACCTTGGCATGGAGAAGAATCTATACTCTCATCGATTGCAGTGTTACGGCAACAGAAAGAGAACGAGAAAGAGAATGTACGAAAAATAACACACGTGGTTCTATTGCAGGTTCTTAAAATGGGCACAACCACAGTAACTGGGCAAAGAGGATGAAGGTGGTGAGGAAACCTCAGGTGACTTTACAGAGAATAAAAATGAAAAACCAAAATGCGTTTTACTGGTGAAATAATGAAATCAGATTTCTTTTTACTGGAGAAACAGGTACAATGCTGTAGTTGTTGGAGCTGTTCTAGAAAGTACTTCGTGCCTTGTTTGGTTGAGATGGATGATAATGATGACAGTGGGCCTCTGTCAGATGCCTAATGACTTGGTGGGGGAGCTTTGCAGGACAGCTCGCCTCTTAGACACACTTGCCATTGTGTGTGTGGTTAAGCTTGATACAAGCCCTCCAGTTTCCAGCCCACCTTTCCAGATTCATTGTCATTTCCTCTGAAATCCACTTTCTTACAGGCCACTTTCACTTTTTAAAAATTAAAAAATTTATTTTCCACATTTTTTATGTGAGACACGATCTCACTATGTAGTTCAGGCTGCCAGTGATCCTCCTGCCTCAGCGTCCTGAGTGCTGGGATCACAGGCCTACACCACCATTCTCTGTTCCACATACATTTTAAATTCTTTTTGTAAATATTTTCCTCCTGCCCTTTTGTCTGCTCTTCCCGACAGGTGGATTTTCCTTCAGCTTTCAAGGCTTTGTTTGGCGCCCCTGGCAGGGAAACCTGTGTGTGCCCTTCTTTTGCTCAGTGAGACTCAGCTTTGATCCAGAGGTCCTTGAGATGCTGAGGCTGGTACCCTGCCCTGTTTGCTGGAACACTGGGGAGTGGGAACAGGCCCAGAAGACACCTTGCTTCCTTTTTCCTAACCTCCCTTCCTATCTCTGCCCCCCAAATTCCCCTTTCCTGCTTTCTTTCTTAGTGTTCATCTTAGCTGACATGTGCAGCATCTTAATCTCACAGAGGTTCCTCTGTATGGTGCATCTTTATTCTGCTTATTCCCCGTCTGCTCCACCTACCCCACCATCCTTGATCTCCTGGACCCGTTCTCATTTGCAGGAGATCCTCCCCATCTCCTTCAGTCTGTCTATTGATCTTTGTACTTTGCCTCACTCATAAGATCGATACTATACTGTACTTAAGCTTGTGTGTCTGGTTTATTTCATTCAGCATTATATTTTCCAGCTGTATCCATTTTCTTATCAGTGTCTCAGATCTGTCCTTCTTTATAGCCAAGTAGTGTTCCATTATATGTGGCTACCACACTTTCTTTAGCCAGTTGTCTGCTGGTGGGTACATAGGCTGCTTCCAGGATTTAGCTGATAGGAACTGTGCTGCTCTAAGCACTGGTACACGTGCATTGCCATAGTACAGTGTCTTCAGATCTCTGGGGAAGATACCTGGAAGGGGAGAGCCGCGTCATAGAAAATTTCCGATTTTAGTTCTTTGAGAAATCTCCATGCTGACTTCTAGAATGCCTGTCCCAGTTTGCGTTCCCAGCCGTCTTTATACATATGGTGGGACTCGGTACGTGCACTTGCCATGAGCAAATGAACATGCAGAAAAAAAGCCTGGCTGTGTTGACTTGGTGTAGACTTTAACAATTATCGAATGATACAGGCTCAGTAATTCCATGAGGGGAGGGTACTGTAGTTACCACTAAACTACCTTGTTTTCATTCAGTGGTTGTGGCTATTTGTACTTGTTATGTTGCTTATTTACTATAAAATGGGCCATGTACTGGGTCAGGGAGGTGGATTTTTCCAGCTTCTTTAAGCCAGGTTGTCACCATGGCTTCTCTACCATGTAATATTCTTAGGAGTAAATGTGATTAAGGACCTATGATACTCCTAGGAAGTGTATTTTACATACTTTTTAAAAAATCTTTTTGAGACAGTGTCTAACTATGCAGTTCAAGCTGGCGTGGAGCTCACTATGTAGCCCAGGCTGGCCTCAAACTCACAGCGATCCTCCTGCCTCAGCCTCGTGAGTGCTGGGATTACTGGTGTGTACCACAGGGCCAGCTAGTTTCACACATTTTTTATTAAAAACTCCTTTGGATCTGGAGCTGAAAATCATCCTTTTCTAAATTATTCAGTATATATATTCTCTCTGTGTATTTTCATGCAAAAACTAAGACTTTAAGACACAAAATGAACAAACTTTAAAAACCATGTGGTATTTGTATTGGACAGCCAGATGTCCTGTTGCAAATGACAGCGACCACCCTTGCCAAGATGGGTGCTGCTTTCTCCCTCATGTAATCATCTGAATGTGGAACTCCAGGCAAGCATGGTACCCCCCGGTACCCGCTGTTCTGTATGACTATTTGCGGTTTGGCTTGGAATCCCGTAGTGTTAGGATTTCAGGAACCTCTCATGATCTTGTATTTAAAATTGAATGTTTGCTGATCTCCTTTTAAGTTTTTATTGATTGGTTTTTTTTTTAAAAGTGACTAATGGATGGATGCGCTGGGCTGAAGTAGGAGTCTCTGTGTCCCTAGCGTTCTGGTAAACCAGTCTTGCCGGTAAATTCCTTGGAAGTTTGGATATTTGGGGTGGGGGAGGGCCAGTAGTCTACAGCTGTCTGCAAGACCCCAGTGATGTGGACTGTCCGTGGAGGGGTAGGTGGAGGGAGCTCATGTGATCCCCAGAGGGAGGCACAAGTGCGGTTCCCAAAGCTCCAAGGACCGAGACTTCATTTCCACAGTGGGTGTAAAAGAAGAGGGCTTCACAGGAGGTCCTGCGATCAGGATGCCTTTGGGAGGTGGAGGAGAAAAAGGAGCATGGAATGGTAGTGGGGGAAGGGGTGCGTGGGAGGTCCTGGAAGGGGACCCCCACTGCTTCAGGAATGTAAGCTGCTGAAGGGCGTTTGTGATTCTGGGGCTGGGGAGAAGAGTTGCATTGGTCCCGGTCCTTTATTTCCTGGTAGGATGACAGAGGGAAATGTTAGCTCTTTGATGAGATATTATGGTGTTATACTTTGATGACATTCCATTGATTTGTTAACCTACATTTTGAAGATGCTTCTTTGGGGCTCTCCTAATCCTTAACCTCTTAGAAGGGGTTTAGCTGGAATTATCTTTGTATTTGGAATCAGGGCACGCTCATGACAATATTTACAACTTGAGCCCTTTAAAGGGAAACAGAAACACAGTTGCCAAAGTAAGTGAGCTCTCCTGAAGTCAGAAGACGGTGCCACCCTGTTCATTGTCACATTCTGCTGATCATTTAGAGAAAGTTCCAGAGAAAAGTTCCGACTCCTGCTGAAGAGCAGACTCTGAAATGATCTTGTACTTTAGCTTCATGCACAAAATAGGCTGAAATCAGGCTTCAGTTAGCTCAGCTTGCGTATTTCATCACTTTGGTGTGCAGCAGAATCTGATCTGGACTTTTATCCCCATGGGTTCATTTTCAAGGGCTGATTGTCTTTTGTTAATTCTCTTTTATATCTTGATATTTCCAGGAAAGCCACGGCAACACACTTACTCTCTTAAAAATAAAAAAGAAATGAATACATTAAAAAGTTGGTCCTGTTAAATACTGTTCTTGATGTGAATGTACTCAGACTGGGAGATGGGGAAGGAAGGTAAACTCACTCGTGTGTTTTTGTATCTCTAGGCCGTGCACCTGGCCCAGGCAAGCTTCCAGATTGAAGCCTTTGGCTCCAAATTCGTTCTTGACCTCATACTCAACAAGTAAGTACAGTCTCCTAAGAGCAGGTATAGTAAAACTTCAAGATACTCATTTAGCCAGAATTATGTCTGTGGTTAAAGCAGCTGATTACAGGGAGAGCGCTTAAAGGAAAATGTAAAATCTGAATAGTGAATTTGATCTTTCATTCCTTTTTCTGAAAGAAAATGATATAGGGGAAGGAAACTCCTAACCTACTATGTCGGGTGCAAATTTGAGTTCTCTAAAATCGAAGAATGAATTTTAGAAACAATGGAGGTTAAGAGCGGAATGTATTTATTGAGAGAGAGAAAGCTTCGGTTTGAGGAAGACAAAAGGGGTCCTGAGTAGGTTGCCAATGACTTTTCCAGGGACTTTTATAGAGTAAAACCATAAGGAGAAATGGGTCCAAGGTGGGGGAAAATGGGAACTTTCAAGGTGGGCATAAGGTGGGACAGAACTATGATTAGCCAATGAGATTAACTGCTCAGGTAAAATTGATTAAATCAGGAACAAATGGGGGCACGCATAGTGATTCTTCCTATAGGGGTTGGGATGCTGACTCCTGTCTTCCTCTGGGTGTTAGAGGGCTATTTGGAACATGAATCCTTAGGATGTGGTTATATTCGCTTTGCCTTTTGTCTTGAGATCTGACCTACAGCAGGAGGTGTTTGTTCTAAGGCTGCAAAGTATCTGAACTTCTGCTCTGGTTCCTTTGAGAGCCCCGCCCTGTCTGACTCTGACTGCGTATAGTATTTCTAACTAACTCAGCTGCCTGTAACAAGAAGACATTTAACATGTTAACTGTCTCAAATACAGCACTTCCACATTATGATTTGAAATGGAAAAAATACTTGAAGTACTGCTGGTTAATTAAATGTTAACTGTAATCATCACTGTATAGAAGAAGCATGATTCAAGTCTAATTAGACTTCAGTCCAGTGGTTTCTTGAATTTTACCTTTTATAATGCAATTCAGATAACTTCTGTAGGAAGGAAAAAGTAAGTGAAGATTTGCAAGGACCTATTTTGAGGAGATTCTTGGCTTCATAATTTGCTCTAATAGAGATCCTAAGAAATCCAGTGCTGATGGAAATCTACCCTAATGTTTCTGTGCCTGTGTTTGTGTTGATATTTAAGTATGCCACCTCATAAATTGGAGCCAGTTGCACAGTTGTTTTTGTACAAATTCTGAACAAGAGATGCTGCCTTAATCCAGGCCGAGGAACCTGGAGAGAACGAGCACCAAACCTATCTTTAGGGAAGGGGATTTCCGGTATTTTTTCCTTTGTTATAGAAACCTTAGCATTTTCAACTTGCATTATTATTCTGACCAGGTCTGCATCTTCACATGAAAAGAAAAATGCCCCCTACTGCTCTCAGACATCATAATGTAGGTGTTCGCAGCCAGTGTCTGAGAATTGGAAAGGACTACACAGAACCACTGTTAGGTTTCTTGCATTCCAGATTCCATGAGCTCTGCAGAAAAGGTGCAGTGTCAGCTTGGGTGCCCCTTGCTCGAGTGTCACTGCGGTTCTGAAGTCAGTGTGAGTCAGCAGAACTCAGAATTTCCTGCACTGAGGCTATTGCAGGTTTTCTTGGGTTGAGTTTCACCCCACTGTGCTGCGTCAGCCTGTGCCTGCTGAAGAGATTTGTCTTGCCAAGTCTTAGACCGCTTTGAGTAGCAAGATCCTGCTAATTTTAGTTCGCTTCAGTCTTCTTTTAATGCTTACTGCAGTGGAGAGCGGAGAGCGACACTCCGCAGTGAGTGTGGTCCCAGCCCCCAGCACGCTGGTGTATTTGGAATGTGAAATATTGAGGCCACAGCAGAACCCTGAGAAGGGGTCGGGCGGGATGCACAGGGAATTCGGCACTCTGCAAGCGCCCCAGAAATCGTGTAGGACTGATGTTTAACAGGCCAGTCAGTTAGGCTGACCGCCTGTGAAGGGTAGTCCTTGCCTCGAGGAGTTTAGAGTACACTGGGGAAACTGATACAGAAGCACAATTTTAGAAGCGTCAGAGGCGCGTCCTGCCCATGGTTAGCATGCAGTGTTAGCATCGCCCTTCAGGGAGGGCAAACCCAGTAAGCGCTGCCAGGAGAAGAAGAACGTGGGAAGTTTTGTTACTTTGCAGCAAGCTAGGGGAGCACTGGGCATAACTGCAGAGTCGTATCTTTCTGGACCCAGAGGGATTTCATCGGGAAACCTGTGCATACTCATATTTCTTCAGATTCATTTATTTATTTTATGTCTTTGTAAAGCTAATTATCATCCATAGAGATTAACACCCAGACAACAGGCCAAAACACATACAAGACACAGAAGACAACGATACTAAATCAAGGCACACTTTTAGATGCGTTGCCCATGCTGGATTACAATAACTTTTTTTCCTATCTTAAGCTTTACTTTTCCTTCTTAAATTGTCGTGGGTAAAAGGCTTAATGCCATAATGTGTGGTATTCATGCATGCCTTTTAATTAGAAGACTATACTCAGTGAATATTGTTATCTACAGTGAATTATTATCATAGCAAGATAGTCATTGGACTGCGTGTTGGGGGGTCCGCACTGAGGAAGAGTCATTGCTGTCATGGATGTTATGACCTTATGTGAGAGCAAAGTCTCGCAAAAACACCTCTAGTTTTCCTTTTGTTTTTGGTCCATGTTTTTTCCCTGGCTTTAGTAAAGGAGATGGGGTGGTGCACCACGTGACCTTTTCCCTCCTGAAAGTGAACAAAGGTTGGTTGTGAGGGCAGCACCTTGGTTGATGACTACTCAGGGAAAAGAGCACTATGAATTCAGATCCTGCTCTTCCTGAGTTGAAAACATCCTTTTGAGGTATGTGGCAGACACCCATTAAAGAGATGAGGCCCAACTGCAGGTCACTGACTACTTAGACACATTCCCGGCCCCTGGTTGACTCCAAGGTGACTGCCCAGGCCCCAGCATGCTGTCCTGTGGATGTATGTGTTTCTTGGTACCAAGAATTGAACTCGAGGCCTTTCGCTTGCCAAGCAGGTGCTGTACCCTTGAGCTACATCCCCTGCCCCATCCTTCTTATTTAAAGTGAAGTAGGTCCCTGCATTCTTCCTGACCACTGCCCAGTACAGGGAAGGAAGAAGTCTCAGACCTCCTGTTTTGTATGGTGCGCTCCGATAGGAACCCTGCTCCAGTGAGCCCACAGGGCTGATACCCACAGGGCTGATATACCCACAGGACTGATACCCACAGGGCTTCTCTTGTCTGAGCTTCTCCTGTTGTCTTCAGCAGTGTTCAGAAAAGTCTGCTGGGATGAAATCAGCACACAGACTCAACCTCAGGAGGCTGTAACCTAGACCTGGGAGTGGAGTGTGTCCCGGAAAGCAAGGACTCTGCTTGTCGGGAGCCGAGGGAGCTGAGCTGAACAACTTGTACTGGATGAGTGGTGTCCCGGTGTCCTGGGCGAGTGGCGTCTCAGGAAAGGAAAATCTGCATACCTTCCCAGTTCAGAGAGGTACACTGACCTCAGCTGTGCAGTTCAGGGACCATCGCATTGACCTGAGGTGGTGTCACGTTACCCCCCAGGGACAGGGTTTGAGGTTCAAGCTGAGAGTGTGCGGGACAGCGGCTCGCAGGAGGATGAGCAAGGCTTCCGAAGTGTGGGGGTCTCAGTGTTCCACGTGGACGGGAAGTAGGACTAGAAGGAGGAGGGCAAGGTTGCTGAAATTCACCCAGGAAAGTAGTTCCTCATTTAGAAAAAGCCCATTGTCCCAGTTTTCTGGGATTTAGAAGTATTTGATGTAAATCAAATATCTAGAAAATGCTGCTTTACAGAAATATACATGCACCGTAATTTGCTCATCAAAAAACAGTTCATGAAGTGCTTTTGAAAAAAGAAAACAGCCCCACCAATGTGGTTTCGGTTAGGTTACACTACGAAGTCCGTGTTCCTGTTAGCCAGTGTGGCTCATTCATTGAGCCAGCCACTGCTTAGCCCTTGGTGATGAGAGAAGTATTTTTGGACAAGTGCGGCTCAGTGGAGCCTTGGTTTGGCTCCATGGTAGCAAAGCCTGAGGCAAGGATTCTGGGAGCAGCTACAAGATAATGGCACAGGAGGAGGGGAGAAGGCAGAAGCCTGAAATAGGAGCATCTGGAGCTACTTCCTGTGGCCCTGAGAATTCTGGGGCTTTGTGGATTCTTTGGACATCGCTGCAGTCAACCAGCTGAGAGGCCGGGCCATTGGTTTTTGTGCATTGGCTGCCCGTCTGTTGGCTGAAGGCTGTTTCTGGGGGCAGTGATGTCACTGGTTCGTGCTGTGCAGGAAGAAAAGCTCAAGAGTTTTGGGTTCTTCTAGGCTGTTGCCCTCTGTGGTGGATGCCGAGGATTCCAGACAGGCCATCTACTGCGGCTGCTTCAGATCATAAAAGGTGTGGGATGGAGAAAGGGCTGTTCACCCAGCAGCCCCGCCAAGGCTGGGAGCAGTTCAGCACTGGACTCCTAGGGTGAACAGAAACCCAGCCCCTCATTTTGAGAAGCCTGATGTGCCTCCCAGCAGACAGAAGACAAACCTCATGCTGGGGTTCCCTGAATTCTGAGCTCCATCTACTAAACCCTTACCCAACTCTGCTGATTTGAAGAATTGAATTTAAGAAGAAACACAAGGAGAACAAAGAGGCCTCCTGCCTCATTTTCCTTCTGTGAGTGACAGGACCAGGGTGAGGAGCTGGGACTGGGGATCCCAGGAAGCAGCCTGACCTACCTGTATTCAGCCCCAGAGTGTGAGTTCTCTTCTGGGTCCTCTTAGGTGTGAGCCTGCTGACTCCTGGGCCTTGGGGTTAGCTCCAGGCTCCAGTTTCTCTCCTACTCTACCCTTTAGTCTTCCTGGTAACCTCTTTCTCATACACCCAGGAGGCAGAAGCAGGAGAGCCCCCACCTGGGAGTCGGTGCTGGACTGCCCAGCTCAGCTCTTGAGGCCATGACTGCATACTCTCTGGGTTCCTGTCTGGAGGAGTCAGAGCAGTAATGTGGGCTTTGCTGTCCAGGCTG